CCGGGCGTAGCCCCTGACCTGCCCCTCGGCTTCAGAGCTGCCAGCTCGGAGGCGCCCCATGAAGCTCTCTTCTCTCTCACTCTAAGACAACTGCCAAGGCTCCAGCCCTAAGAAAATGGCCCACGGTTCTGTGGGACAGGAGGGCTGGGGAGCAGAACTCTGCCAAGGCTGCACGCCTCCCCTCCCCCCCAGCTTCCAGGCCTCCTCCCTCCTTGGCCTGCTGTGCCCCCTCCGGCAAGTTCCTGGCCCCTGGGCCAGTCCTGTCTCCACCTCTGTCTCTGGCCCTCTCTTTCTGTCTCTGTCTCTGTGTGTGTGTGTCTGTCTTTTGCTTCCTCAGATCTTCATCCCATGTGGGCTCAGCGGCCTGTCCCCCCTCCATCTCTGGCCATCCCCAGCCCCTCCGCCTCGGGGGTGTGCATCCCGTCTCACTAGCCCTGCCCGGGGCCTGTCTGGTCATGCCTAGGGCCAGTGACCACCGCAGCCTGCCCTGCTCAAGCCTCACCCCTAGCCTGGACAGCCCTGGGGGAGGCCAGGAGCTGCCCAGATCGCCCGAGGGAAGGGCCGAGCTCCACTGCTGAGAGGGGCACTGTGGCCCTCCCTGCAGGGGCCCACGTGGCAGTCCTAAGTGGCAGTCTTGTCACCCCATCCTCCATGATGATGACTAGGTCTCCCACCCCCTAGCCTTATGTCCCTGCTGCATGGGGGTGTGAGCTGTCATGCTCAGTGCAAGGAGGGCTGCTTCCGGGCTCAGCTGTTGCCTTTTGATTAAAGAAACACCGTGCACTATGGCTCTGTGTGTGCCACCATGCCTGGGCTGTCCCCCAGGCTACACCCATGTTCTGGGGCGACCAGGAGGAAGGCAAGCATTTGCACTGCCCCAGCTGTCTAGAGACGGGGTTCTGCAGGGAAGCGTCCAGGGGTCCCCAGGGGCTCAGAACAAGGGCAGAGTGCCCATGGAGCCTGGGTAGGGGCCTTCCCGCACAGCCCCCAGGAGGCCTCACCAGGTGCCAGGAAAGCCAGGCTGGGGCTGCTACATGTTGGCACTAGCTCCCGAGAGAGGATCCAGGACACGGCCGGGGAAGCCTACTCACTGGGGACACGGGGCTGAGGGCACAGGCCCAGTGATGCCCCCGTGGCACAAGCCCAGCAGGCAGGAGCCTGGGTGGCCTTCCTGTCATTGTGCCTGAGGGCCCTTCCACTCTGGCGAAGTGGTGGGACTTCCCAGGCCCTCTGTGAGTGACGGTCCAGGGAGCCGAGTGACTCCCAAAGCACCAGTGACTCCTTGCGAACAGCCTGTCTTGGTACCTGGTGTGCCCGGCATGCCCAGGTCTTTTCTGTGGGACAGGAGGTGCCACCCAGCATGGGGCCCAGCAACAGAGGGTAGCCATACCTGACTGTGTGCTCTGTGGCGCGGCAGTCTCTGTCAAGCTGGCAGCCACAGGGCTCTGGCCCGGGACAGGAGTTAGGGCCATGCTTGAGTCCCAACACTGGCAGGGAGGAGGGGGCCTCCACGTGGGCCAGGGCACCGGGTCCAGGCCCGGGATGTGTGTTCTCCTCCTGTCTCTGCCCCAGGCTGCCCTCTCTCCTAGTCTTCTGTCTCTCTTACCTTGTGAACTTTCCCGAAGCCTGTCCTGTGCATGCCCGGCTCAGGGACACAGTGAGGCAAAGGGAAGTGCAGAGGAACAGAGAGCACCCGGCAGGGGCCAGAGGTGGACGAGCCACGCCCCGCGAGGACTCGTGGGTCACGTGGAAGGTGGCTCTGTCCTCAGAGCCCTTGGCGTGGACATGGCATGTGTTGCCTGCTCAGCGCCAGAGCACAGGGCGGCTGGAAGGCTGGGAGTGCCTGTGGGAAGGTGCAGGAGAGCTGGGGTGAGGAGCCTCACTGGAGCAGGAGCCTCTGGACATGGGGACACACCGGATGTGGTGCAGCAGGAGGGCAGGGTTCCCCTCAGCGTCGCCTGGTTGCTTGTTGTCTGGAAGTGTTGGAAAGTGCAGGCGTGCAAGGGTGGCTCAGGGCAGAGGCCCACGTGTGGATGCACTCCCATACACGCACACATGCACGCACAACATGCACACACATGCAGGAACACCTGTGCATGAAAACACATGGACACACAAGACACTCAAGCAAGTGCACAAAGTGAATGCAAACACATGCACGTACTTACACACAAACACATGTGTACACACGAGCACAGCTGCACATGGAGACGAAGCTCATGGACATGCAAACACACGCACATAGAAACGCACCCACGCATAAGCACATACAGTGTGAACGTCATGGGAGCGGCTCGCTGGGGCCGGCCGCACTGTGGAAGGGGCACCCGCCGTGGGCTGGACGGCAAGGGGCACTTACAGCGGGTCAGGTGCCTCTGGAGCCTAAGCCGAGGCCACTGCTTGGACTTAGACAAGTCGGGGCTGGTCAGAGGGCAGCCGGCCAGGCCCCTCAGGGAGCCACTGCCTCCCGGGGGCAGGCAGAGGGCCTGGAGCCAAGGCAGGGGCTGCTCTGAGAACTTGGCCATGCTCCTCCATCTCTGGCCCCTGCTGCTCTCCAGGCTCTGCCCTTGGGCTCTGGCTCTAGGCTCAGGAGGGCTGGGACCATGGGCAAAGCCCCTCCGCTCTGGCCACACAGGGCCCCCGCACCACAACCGGAAGAGAGCCCTTGGCCCCTCAACTCCTGTGAGGGCACATAGCCCTCAGGGCCTGGAGACTGGAGTAGCCTAGGGGCTGCAGGGCCTGGTGTCCACTGCACGAGGGGTGACCAGGGCAGGGCCGGCAGCATCCAGGACCCTGAGCTAGCCCAGGAGGCTGGAGCTACACTGGGCAGAGGGGTCATGCCACACGCGCACACACCATAGCTGCCCAGAGCTTTCCAGAAGCCCCAGGAATGGAACGTACCAAGGCCCAGCCACCTGGCCCAGCTGGGGCTGGTCTGACAGTCCTGGGGCTGTGATAACAAAGATTTGTTCTGTCAGGGTCCTGGGGGCCAGAGTTCAAAATCAAGGTGTCAGCACAGTCACGGGGAAGAGGCCCTCCTGCCTCTTGCAGCTCTGGTGGCTCCAGGTGGTCCTTAGCTTGTGGCCACATCACTCGGAGTTCTGTCTGTGGTCACATGACTTCCTGGCGCGTGCATGTGCGCACGTGTGTGTGTGTGTGTGTGTGTGTGTGTGAGAGAGAGAGAGAGAGAGAGAGAGAGAGAGAGAGAGAGAGAGAGAAATCACCCTCTGCCTCCTTCCTGTAAGGACACTTGTCATTGCAAACAGGGCCTGCCTGGATAATCCAGGATAATCCCCAATCTCAAGATCCTTAACTTAATCACATCTGCAAAGACCCTGGTTCCAAACAAGGTCACATTCCAGTTCCGGGGTTAGGAGCCACATACCTGCAGGGGCATTTGCAGCCTGCCCAGGCCGGAGGAGGGGCCGTCAGCATGGCCCGAGAGTATGGGGTGGGGGTGCAGGCTCCACTTCGGGGTGGGCATGGAGGGGATGGCCGGAGGCTAGGGGAGGGGTGCAGGTTGAGGACCCGGGGAGCAGTGAGGGCTGAGACTGAGGGCGGGGTTCCCTGTGTTCCCTGGAGGGGCTCTAGACTGCCTAGGGGCCCAGAGGAGGCAGGCCAGGGCACTGCAGGGGCCCCTACCACAGGAGAGCAGGACCCAGGCTGGGCGAAGAGCCCTCCCCAGATAAGCCATCCCACCGACCTCTTCATGGGTGGTGAAGGAGGCTGCCCTGAGCAGACTGGGACCACAGAAAGGGGACCATGCCCTCTCCTGGCCATTAGCTGTCTGGGGCTTCCATGACCCCTCGTTCCGTGCGATCTGCCCTTGACCTGGCAGGACCCAGCACAGAGGTACAGGCCTGGCGCGGTCAGGCTTTGGTGGGGCTAGTGCGAGAGTGCCCACACCCAGGGGACTGGGCGAGGAGTAAGGGGTGCAGGCAGGTAGTACCTGCCTTGGGATTTCTCCTCCACCTAGCTCCTGCCCCCTGGTACAAGAGGGCTTGTGCTGAGTATGTAAGCACCCCACCATGTAAGTGCCCCCACCGTGTAAGCACCCCATCATGTAAGCACCCCACCATGTAAGTACCCCCACCGTGTAAGCATCCCACTGTGAAGCACCCCACCATGTAAGTACCCCCACCGTGTAACCACCCCCACCGTGTAAGCACTCCACCGTGTAAGCACCCCCACCGTGTAAGCACCCCACCATGGGAGCACCCCACCGTGTAAGTACCCCCACCATGTAAGCACCCCACTGTGTAAGTACCCCACCGTGTAAGCACCCCACCGTGTAAGCACCCCACCATGTAAGCACCCCTACCAAACCAAATTCCCTGGGGTCAATAGCCGCCAGTTAAATGAACACTCTCAGGAGCAATCAGTGCATCCCCTGGTCACCAGAGAAGGCCCAGACCCCGGGGAGTTTCCCCTCCCTGAAAGAAGAGACTGCCCAGGGAGAGGGAGTGGTTCCCTTTCTGTGGTTCAAGTCCGCTGGTCTCTTCCTTCAGCTCTCTTGCCGCTCCCTTGTCTCTCAGCTCCAGCTTCTCCACTGCCTGCAGAAAGGCTGATAACTGAGCACACCTGCAGCCGAGGGACACTCCAACTGGAGCCACCCAGGGTGACCTGCTGTCCCTCGGGAGCCAGGGTAGAAGGCCACGACCCCAGGGAGAGAATGAGGATGGGGACATCGCCTGCACTGTCCTGGTGCAGCGGTGGACTGGCGCCCATCTCCTGGCCCTGTGCAAAAGGCCAGCTTTGTGGCTTGCTCCAGGTGAGATCCGGCGACCCTCTGAACCTCCACTTCCCCCTCTGGGACGTGGGGT